ACAACAATAACGACAGAATGGAATGGGGGTTTTTACGATGTTCTGGGGGTTTTTCCTGGTGAGGAGCAGATAAAAAAATGGAGGATGAAAAAAGGTCAAGGATTACTGCACCCTCATGGGGGACAGATTCCAAGCAAAGTCCCGAGTGAAGATAGAGATCCATTCCATGGCCCTTGACCCTCTCTATGTCAACAGAAAATGCGTGCTTGTGTACGGTCTCATGGGTTTCGACACGGGGGGTCTGTCTCGTCTGGTCAGGTCCAGTCTCCGTTTGATGCTAGTTTCTCTTGACAAAGAGAAAAAGAGGGGAAAATGAAGGGAAGAATTTAGTGTTTTCCTCCATCCAACACAACTACTATTTTCCGTGGCCTTTTGTGCAACAAGTGCAATACTTTGGACCACCTTCTATTGCTTTTAGTCACGGAGTTTTTCCACGGTTGTACCTTAGGATCAACATTTGCACGACAAATGGATGTTAAACTACTAGTTTTTGGGAACATTGTTAGCTCGGGAGAGGAATTAGTCGGACGGCGGATAAATAGACCGGTGAAATACTCGGCTGATTGTTCCTGTCAGCGAGAATTTTTTTTTGAGACACCATGAAAATAGCGGGGAAATTATCCTGGGAAATGGGGAAAAGATGCATTAGGGCATCTCTTGAAAATTTTCAGGGACTTGACACTGGATTTGTTTTGTTGATGAATTTTTGGGGAATATCTCTGAATTTGAGGGAACGGCGGATTTTTATGCAGAATCTGTTTTGGAGAGAGGAATGACAGCTGCAGATGAGGCTTTAACGAAAATTTGCATATTTTTCTCGGATTCAGAAATATTTCTTAACAACTCCCACATTGACTTTATGATTCTTGTAAATTCATTTCTCGAGGAATATTTTCAAATCCAAAAGAAATTCTCCAGTTTTGGTTCATAACTTTTTTGTAGAGAGACTTGAGATTTCCACAGAGTATTATTACAAAAAATTTTCGATCAGCATTGGATTCCGGGAAATTCAATGAAAATTTATGAATCGTAAAAATACTTGAACCATTTTGCCACATCGGATCTGGAAATTATTCAGAATTCACATCCAACTGTTTCTTAAAATAAAAAATAAACTTGCAACCAGTTATTAAAAAAAATTCTCTTTTCTTTTTTCACCGTAATTTTTTTGTGACTCAACTTTTTTGCGCAGAAACTCGTAAATATCGGTTTGATTAAAATTATATTTCACCTGCGTTGAATTTCCGACATGAAACGGAGTATTTATCTTTCCCTCGCGATTTCTGTCCAATTTCTGTTCAATTCATTCAGTCATGAGAGAATATAGCTCCAAGGAGATTTTTTTTCCATTTCTCAACACGAAATATTAGTATTTTATCGTATTTTGAAGGTTTCCTCTGGTTTCCCCTCTCAAAATTTTGTGTATCGGCGTTAGGAAGTTCGTTGATTCATGGGTTGTGTACGAAGTGAAAAAATTGGATGATTTTTTTTTCCTGTGAAAGAAGGCTACAATTTTGTATCGCAGAATGTGATGTGGTTCCACGAAGAATTAGGCCCTCGTTGTAGGTCTGAGATTTGAGAATTCTCTCTCACTCGCTCTCCTGGTGTCGGTAGATGGGTTAGGTAGGTTATACCGTTGATGGACCAGAGCTAATCTGAAAATCACCGGAACTTCACAATTATAGTAATTTACCAGCCGACAACAAGCCTGTACACACAAGGCTCGTCCCCATAATGATATTAAGGGGCTAGTTGCTTTCTTTCTGTTTCTCCTGTTTCTTTTCTTCCACTTATGAGTTTATTGCGTCAATTTATAAATTCATAGATATCGGGAAACACGTGTGCCTTCAAAATAATCAACTTTTGCTTTGGGACTTATCATTTTGACTTGGAATATTTGGGAGTCTCAAACGGAGTAAAATATTTGAGAGTTTCAAACGGTTAAAACTTCTCCAAGTCTGAATTTGAGACTTTTAAAGTCTGAACTTCAGCGGTTACAACTCAATTCAAGACTTTGAGAATTAATTTGAATTTCCTTGGAATTCTACATTCGTAACTCTCAACCTGAGACTTCTCGATCTTGATATGAGATTTCGATTCAATTTGAATTTCTCTGTACATTTCACTGGTCTAGAAATTTGGATTCACTCATCTCAGAATTTAATAATTATAAACTTAAAAGTCTCAAATTAATATTATCAAAGATGACAAGAGAAGTCTTTCCAAAGTCCCAGATGTTCAAAAGTCGAGACTTTGGTACGTCTGAAACTAAAATATTCAAAAATCCCATCTGAAGGATTCCTAAATTTTCAAGTTGCGAGATCCATACATGTCCAACAAAAATGGCAACTCTCATCATATGCAAGTCTCTCAAAAGTCTGAAGTTCAGTCATTAAAGTCCCAACTCACGGCCTTGAACATCTCAAAATAAGGTTAATTTCCGTGGGTGTAAACACACACTCCAAATCGCAGAATGAACTGCACTAATGGAGAGCAATGTTGCGCGTGTAAAAGCCGAGAATTAACTATTTAAAAGGTGGAAAAATTGAAAACAACCGTAAACTCGAGTGAATCCCGGTGGAGAAATAGAAAGTGCGAACTTTGAGATCGGCAGTGTTACACTCCGGAAAGATAAGGGAGGAAGACGGGAGAGAGATGATAGAAGGGAAAGAGAGAAAAGAGAGAAACGGATGGATGGCATGCATTGCTAAGAAGCGAGGAGTGGCTGAACATCGTGGTGAGTAACAGAGAAGATGTACGGATGTGAGTCTCTACATGTCGGTAATAAACTTGAACGTGCAAGGCGTGTGGCGCGCACATGTGCCATGACACTACCCGCAATAACACCCGTATTAGAACATCTCTAGCAGATGAAACATTTTCGAATATATTTCGTTGCACCGTGAAAAATGCATTTCACGATATTCCTGGGAGAAAATGTCCTTTTTCAAGGTACAAGTTATGCTGAACAATTTGTGCGTCCACTGTGTGCCTCATTCTTCGTCAAACCAGAAAATTATTCTTTGGGATGTCTCGGAATTTTCTGAAAATTGTTTCACGCTCCTTTGGGATATGATGATTTTCTTGAGTTTCGGATCCAATTTTTTTTTTTTTTGTGAATTACATCTTATGGTGACTTTTTTTTTATGATTTTCTCTCGTTATCGTTGTTTCGTAAGTAATACAAATTCGGTTGTAATCTCACTCTTTAAGAGTTTCGTGTCTCTTCATCTCTTGTTCCGTTCGGTTGCTGTTATGTGATGACGCAGATAGCGAAAGTGTCTAATTTTTTTGTAAACCCTGAGAGAAATCTCGAGGATGTCGTCGGTTATTACCTAAAATATTCTCGGAACATTAACAAAGTCGTAACGATTTCATTCTACGAATTAATTGTTACCTTCAACGACACTGAATTTTTAATGCTCCGGAATTCGGAAAAAATTATTCATCAATTTATCATTCAATCAATTCCCATAACCAAACATCGGGAATAAATAAATTGAAACATTTTTTTCGTCACTTTTGAAAAAAGCTAGTCAACTCTCCCCGATATTTCAATTCTCTAACGGCGTGATATCCGGATTCCGTTGGCAATAAAATCTATAAAAAAACCACGCGTGAATATTCCAAGTTTGCTAACAACAGTGTTCACACTCTTACGGATTCTCTCCCATAACCAGAAGTTTCGGCGAGAGAATTACGACAGATTTGATTATTTCCGAGGTGAATCGACTGAATTATTAAGCAGCTAACCACCCGGAATATTTATCCTCCCATTAATTTTTAGAGGAATATAAACGCTTGATTTAACGAGTTGATTTTATCCGGCTCGATCCCTCCATATCTCAACTATGCGTTACACATCAGATTATTTACATCTCGTGCGATAAACTGCGAGGACACAACTACGGAATCAAAACAAAGTGTCTGATTTCACAAACCGCACAATGAAAATTCAATGTGCAACTTTTCATGGGTCTTCTTCGAAATGACAAGACAAATAGCAAAAAGTCTGATGACATTAAACAACAATTTATAATTTATATTTAAAAACCACGGGCAAGTGCATTTGGCTTTGCCCCAATTACCAGTGAATATCCTCCAAATGAGATGAGATAGGAAAATTTTTATATCAATCTTTTTTTTAGACCACACATCGCTCTACAAAAATGATATCTATGAAAATTTGTGTATATCTCTTCGTTTATGGGATTTCCACCGATAGATAATCCACTCCATAAAGAATGTTTTCTGACTTGAAAATGCAAAAAAAAAATCGTTAATAATAATGCCCATCAGCGAACGAGCTTAAAATTCTAATTGGCAGTGCTCCAACGATGTTTTTTAACCCATCAATTAGACATTCAATCTGATAAAAAATGAATGATTTTCAACAAGCTATTTATCATTTTATATAGTCACTCTGCGATCCAAGAAAGAGGATTTTAATTTCTATTCCAATTTAAATAAAAACATGATTATATTGCCAAGCAATTCCCTAAGGTTTCATCTAAATTTCCATCTAAACATGGAAATTCTCTTGTGCTGCATTAAATAGAGCAAAAGCTCGTCCTGGGTTTAATTCAGTGACATTTTTTTGCTAGCGCATAAACTGCATTTGCCTCCCTCCACTCGCATTAATTTCCACTCTGGGGCGTAGTAACGGGATAAATCCATAAGTCAAGAACCTAGAGCCCCCGTAATTGATACTAATTCGATAATAGTCAACTATTGTGTCGATGAAACGAGCGTAGATTCCAAACAAAAGTGATCAAAGAGGAGCTGAATGAGAGGAGAGAAGAGCATGCGTGCCTTCTCGTGTTGGTTTCTCGAAATTTTATATTATCCCGGTGTATTCGGCTCTTCTCCATCGTATTCTTCTCTCTCATTGTATAACGCGCCGCATGATATATATATATAATGCTAAGGTATGTTGAAACGAAAACGAACGAAACGTATAATCGCTGGATAAACACGAGCCTTTCTTATTTGTTCGAGCAGGAAAGGTGGACCCGACGCCGCACACCTCCTCGTTCAACATGGGCTACCTTGTATCGCCGTATCCCTACCCCAACGGTGCCGGAGGACCTATACCTGTCTCTATGGTAAGTGGTATTTATTCTTTTTTTTTTCCTCCCCTTAATTGTCTCCCATCAACCACATCACGCTAGTCAAAAACATTTTGACTGAATTTTCCATGTTCTGACCTTGGGAGGTCAGACACGTGACAATTTTACTGAAACTAGGAAATCGCGCTTATTAACTGATTTTTGGAAATTTACTTTTCTTTTTCTCTCATTTTCCCCTGCGCATTACGTCACGGCAGTCCGAATTTTTACTGAATTTTCCGGGTTTTGACCATGAAAAGTCATGGAATACTTGACAGTTTCACCGGGAATTTTGGGAATTTTCTCCAAAATTTCACCAGTCACAGAATTCCTGAATCACCAATTAAAGTACATCAATAATACCAAATAAAATCACAAATTTCATTCACAAACTCGTTGATCATCCCGTTGTGGAGTGTTACCGTCAACCACACGAGAACTAAAAAAAAAGTGGCAAAGTGGCTAAAAAAAAGAGACAGAAGTGACAAGCGAAAAAAAAAATAATAAAAAAAAACTTTGAAAACGCGCATTTACGCTTACGCGAGAGCGTTGATAGGGTCCGCGGAGTGATAAAATCAAGAGGTCTCTGGTCCACCGGGTGATCAATCAAATTTTCCAGTAGATTCACCAGAGGACCATGTACCTAAAGTGAGACAGTATGATTTCCACTATGGCTGATACACACGTACAATAAACCGTACGAATGTGAACATAAATGTGCGGAAGGGGGGGGAGACGGTTTGAAAATTGAGTCACGTGTATGTGGAGTATTCGGTGTATGTGAGTTTGTACAGTCAGGTAATTTGGCTGCGGTGAAGCATGGCAACGCTAAATAGTGGGCAAAATTGGGGCGATTTGGCGTTAAAGAGAGCGTGATGCTAGTGCATGCGATATTCCTCCGGGTGTCAGACTCTTTCAACAATTCGACCAATCGATGGACAGAACCATCAACCTGACACCCAGAAAGGTGTGTGAACAGGTCAAATAGAATCACTCGGATAGTCAATGTCTTCCGGTGGCACCAGTTTTTTTTTTTCGTTCTATTTACCCTTTGAGGCATCGTAAGTTGAGAATTGCTTGAAATTTTACGTACACCGGTTAAATTACCCGACAATTTCCCAATTTTTTCCGTCATGAATTCGAGAAATTACTGAAGTCGGGAAATTACACCTGAAATTTCAGACACGGAAATGTTTCATTATCAGCTCAAGTGCGTAAAATATTGATATTAATTAGTGTTTTTTTTTTATTAGGTCTTTAAAGAAATGGGAATAATTTCCATGTAATTTTTGGACGGGGGATTGCTTTCCGCGGGGAAATTTTTCCGGGGGATTTTTTTCGCGGAGAAGGGGAACGAAAATTTGATATTCAATATCATGTGTGTGGGGTAGAATGGGCTGGAATATCTTGGAAACCGCGTGTTGTGGTGAGCGTTGGAGAGGGTGAAAAGACCGACGTGAACTGGTCTCAGACCTGTTCATCATTCCTTTTTTTCCTCACTCTTTTTCTCTCGCTTCATCCTGATCAGTCCTGGATTTACCTCCAGCACATCTTCCACCGCGTCATTATGTCGTTATTTCCGACAACGAGCGTGTCTCGAGATTCACCCCACCCCTCACACATCGGTACTCTCAAAATGCCATCCGATTTATGGTTTTATGAGCCAGAACAGGTTGAAGCTACCGTTGATAAGAGTTTCCTCCTCAAAAATTGTTAAAATTCATTTTTTTTTAATCGTCAATCTACGCCTTTCAGGCTGCAAAAAAAATAAATAATTTTTCAAAGTCAAAATTTTCTATCGAATTTTCGTATCATTCATATATGCATCTTCTAAATAATATGGAATTTTTCTTTAGAAAAGATTCAAACAACTTCTGACTTGATTTAGCTCAGCGAAAAAAATCACTAAATCGGAATGAATTTTCATCCTCTCCAACTGAATTTCGCGCTCGAATCACGTGCATCGAGTTTAAAAAACAGCACTTAAACAATTCCGATCCCTCAGTTTCTCGTTTTCCGCTTGTAGTTTTCCGTCACAAATTCGCAATTCCCCCTCAATTTTCCCCTCAATCGGCGACTAATTCCCTCGTCTGCATTCGCCTGGAACAAAACTAAAGTGCACAAAGTCTGATTACGCACACAACTCGCGTATCTCTTCTTGGCAACAGCATGCGAATATGCGCAGGGCCAACGCCTCTTTCCCGATGTGCATTATATGAGAAACAATTGGAGTCCATTCATCATTGCCTTGCGGGGAGAAAAATACCGGGAGTAACGAAAGCAAAATAATAATAATAATAATAATAAAAACCGGGGACTTAATTATTGTCGTTTTTGTGGGACTGCTCCACTCTCGGTGCTCAATACACACGCAGAAGAAAATCGTATTGTTCCCTTTTGTGAATAAACTACAATCGAAGAGAGTAAAAGCGTGGGTCGTTGATGTCCATGCGCGATACATGCCTATTTCAGTGTTTGACATTTATTTTCGCGGTGGTATATGTTCCACTAATTGTTCACCGATCCTATAGCCGCGTGGGAGCGTCGACACGGACTCTTTCGCGAGCCTTCTACAGGCCCATACAAATGTGTAAACCTGTACTGCGGTAGGGAGCAGTAGACGTTTAATTTATTTCACCAGTACGTAATGATATTGAATTTCTTCACTAGTGTTGGATTAAACTGCGCATCAACCACGATGGATTTGTCATTCCACTATTGTTCATAGGATTGATGATTATTCCATTTGATATACGCACGGGGAAATGGCATTTTTCACTCACGAGAGAAATCCATTAGCTCTTGCAAATCTTGATTATAACTTTTTCTTTTCATTAATGTGATTCACATGAATTTTTATTTGATTCAAATTGATTCGCATTTTATCCAACTTTTGACGTGATTCAAGTATCATTTTTATTATCCGTACGGTATGGAAAAAAATCGACAATGGGGAAAAACTTGAACGATTTTCGACAGAGTTGAAAGGGGTGAGGGAGAAGAGCGAGAATCGGCAGAACCGCAGGGAACCGCAGTTTGTGCGAAGATAACTCCGGGGGAATGTCGGTTCTCTCTTCTCTCGGTCTCTGAAACGAACCACAGGATTTTCTAGTTGCCAAGGATAATGGGCCCGCGTGGGTTTTGGGTAATGGTCGCGTGAGATACTCAGACAATATGGCCAGATCTCACGCTGACATTTTCTATTGATGAGGTTAGGTAGCACAACGGATTCTGTCGCCCATTGGAAATGAGCTTGCAATTGTCCTTAAACCGAGTGTCAATCTGATGTGTCATGCTTGTCTGATAGATCTTGAGGGTTTTTACTTGAGGTGCACACCACGAATCTCATTTATCTGTCTCATTACGAAGCGCTACTGTCTTTCTGATCTCGGTACAGTGATCTTTCATCTTTTTATGGAGGAGCTAAAGTTTTGCGGATAGAAAAGACAGCCTAATACCACTGAAATCATTTCTTGCACCGAATCCATCGTCTCTTTACGACAAATAGCTTTGGACAGGAATTTTCTTGAATGAGGGGTATTAGTTTCATTTTTTTTCTTCGCCGGGTACAACAAAAAATCGTAACTATTGAAAGCAATTACCTTGTGGAGGTAAACGACTCGGGAAAAACGTTTTAATTTCCTGAGATTTCTGGAAAAAATTAACGTAAAAAACCTGAATATTACAGGATTTTTTTTTGATTTTTGAGAATATTTATATTGGATTTGAGGTAATTTTCTCGGAAATTTATAAATATTTTTCCTCATCTGCACGGGTTAGCCTTTTTAAATTAAAATGCGACTACTTCTTATTACTCCGCGACTAGTCAATAATTTAAAAGCGAATACGAGTCACTATCGAGATCCTCGAAAGATTTTCAATGAATCCCCTGAAGACCAAAATTTTTTCACTGCGTCCAGAATTAACGGGTTTAAAAATGCCGCGCATTCTCCCGCCGCCAGTTTCACGCGACCCATTGGCCAATAGTAATCGCGGATGACTGAACACCTTCAGGCCGTGTCCCTGAATCACACCATAATTCTCAAGAATTTCAGTGACTGACCTTTCCAGAAGAAGAATCACAAGTTTATTGAATTGTTGGTTTCGAAGAAAAGAAAACGGGCGAAAAAAAAAAGCGGAGGGTGAAAAAAAAAATGGTGTGTCATGAAGCGTGAAAGAGGATCCAGGATTACACTTTGTGCCAATGGGGCTCTTTTTTTTTCTCTTCTCGACACCTGTACACAGCAAACAGGGTATTTGGTAAAAATACAGGCAAAATAGAAGCGCTGAAGAGGGTACGAAATGGCAAAAAGAGAGGGGCCCCTCGCATACGATATTCACCGAGGGATAAATGAGCCAGAATAAACGCCGAGGGAGGCTCCCGTGAACATTGAAGAATGCCCAGAACTAAACAACGAGCCTCGGGAACACAAAAGTGATGTGTCTGGAGAGAACTCAAAGTGGAGGGGTAAAAATGGTGGAGGCATCGGTCACTTGCTCCAGGGCCTCTTCTTCCTCTCATTTCTCCTTCAATTCTTGCTCCTCTCCTCTTCTGCTCCTTCTTCACGTCTTCGGTGCATAACTCAACATTTTGGGGTCTCGTTAAAGTGTTTCTATGGGAGGTACACGGACAATCGATGTTTTTTCGATAATATATATGGGAAAATGAGGCTCTTCACACTTCCTGTCCTCCTACCCGCCCATTTTTTCGGGTGATACGTCTTTGACCGAACATTTTATACGACCAGATTATCGTATCCCAGGGGATGAGGCTACTTTATTTATGGGGTAGTCGTGCATCCAGTCGATTCTTAAATGGATCCAGGTATTCTGGAAGTTGTTACCCCTCGGATTTTTTTGATATTATTAACAAATTGATGACTGGATTAGGAACTGTTGGGCGGATTCCAAGAGAAAAATTATTTTTAAATCACAAGATTTTAGTTCTCAATTCACGATTTTTCATAAATACATGAGTCAATCCAATTATTTTTTAC